ACTTGATAGTCTTACCAGATCCATCGTCCAGTTAAACAAAACTAATGGAGAAATGGCTATCAGAGGTAACAGTTAACTTGATAGTTTAGGAGACCCGCCGTCTTATTAGAAACGATCGACGAGGGAGTTTGGCTTTGGTCCTAACTGTAGGAAGGTTTGACCAAGTGGAAGATTTGGAATGCACCGGACTGTGAGAAGGTTTGATCATCCAGAAAGTGGACCTCTCATTCTTAGAAGGCATCAAGAGGGGAAGTGGTTTCCACTACCAAAGTGAAATTTCTTTGGTCATCATCTCCTTCAAATCCACATGGCTCTTCAGCATCCATACGCTCGAGCATGCTCTCGACTTGTTCTCCTTGGCGGTGTAGGCGTATAAAATTGCCTATAGGTCCCTTGAGTAGCTCGACAACGCCGATTCAACAAAAGGACCATCGGGCGACGTATCCAAGCAAGACCTTTAGCCCGCAAACGCCGAAGCCAAGCTATACGCGATGGAGCAGGTTAACGAGGCGACGAAGTCAACAAATCGCACTCAAGTATCGGAATGCATCCACTCGCATGCGGAATCCAACCAACGGTTTCGGGGAATCACCGAGTCATCCAAACAAGAGCGAACTCGGATGGATCACGATCGAATCAAGAGGCCGAGCCACCTCAGGGTGGCTCGGCCAAGGCCGAGCCACCCCCTGGGGTGGCCGAGCCACCTCAGGGTGGCTCGGCATGAGCCGAGCCACCTTGAGGTGGCCGACGGCTTGAGTTCTGGCCACACGTGCACACGGGCACGGGCACAGTGACGAGAGCCTATAAATAGGCCAAGGGGTTCTTCATTTTGAAAGGTTGGAAATTTTGGAGAGAGGCGAAGCCCTGCTGGATTGGAGACTCGAGACTTAAAAAAGATTGGAGCTTTGGAACTTCGGGGACTCACTCCTTCAGATCTGGTGCTCAGCGATCGCCAACGCCAAAAAAGGCAGGTGTTCGAGAGGACCGGATCTCAGATCTACGCAGACATACTCCGGATCTAAGCTTGGTCTTAGATCCCGAGATTTGGACGATTGTTTCCTTGGTGAATCAATCCTCCCCGGCTATTATTTCCTTCGTGGAATAATACCCGTCGTACTGCTCAGATCTGACCGGATCTAGATCTCGCGGTGGTCCACGGCAAACAACTCCGGCGCAGGCAAACAACCCACGCAAGCGAGTGACCGCAAAACAGGAGATCGTGATTCGTTCGACAAACAAGGAAACAAAGTTGTAATTTTCATTTCTTTTTAATTTGATTTTCGTTGTAACCGGATCTTATAAAAAGACCGGATCTTTGTAATCGATAAACTATTACAAGAGTGTACAATGGAATCATTAATGAAGAAAGCAACGATTTTTCCCGCGAACAGGCGGATTAAGTCTTTCCACGAGCGAGCTACGACTGTGCCCATATTAGATAGGGTGTCGATGGAGAGATTGTTCCGACACATCTCAATAAGAGTGGCCTCAGAAACTTGATCACGTGTATGCAGCGATCGATTCCTGAACCTCTTGACAAAGTTGCTTACAGACTCTGTCTTCCCCTGCAGTTAGAGCCAAAACCACAATTCACTCTCGATAAACGAGAAACCCACATTTAGTTTGGTAATCAAACATTTCGACGGTTAGGATTATCCGAATCTTTTCGATTCTCGGAGTGGAGATCTCACTCTTAGTTTCACCTTCCCGGATTCTGGAAGTGGAGATCCCACTTTGAGTTTCCGTTGGCAACTGGAGATAGAATATAAAATTCTTCTTCTTTAGCTTTGGAAGATAGAATATAAAATTCATCCTCTCCTGCATCAGGTTCGTCTTTGCCCCAAGAGAAGACATAATATTTCAACAGTATAACTCCTAAAATCCCTGCTTTACACGCGCGAGGAATTTTATCATGAATCCTAAGTAAGGATAAGTCAACGCCTAACATGGGTTGCCGGTTTAGTCTTTCACCGATTGAAAGAGTTACCAGAATCCAAGTCTTTGGAATTTGTCTCGAAGCCGAAGATGGGATAAGTCAGTGCCTAACACGCGTTGCCAGTTAGTTCCTGATCGTAAAGAGAAATAAAGCCTACATATTTGACGTTGTGGCAGGTTGTTATTAATAACACCAAAATCCGTACCTTACACGTGCGGAGAATTTTATCCCGAAGCCTAAGTATGGATAAGTCAGTGCCTAACACGTATTGCCGGTTTAGTCTTTCACTGATTGAAGAAGACACCAGAATCCAAGTCTGGAGACTTTTATCCCGAAGCATAAGTAGGGATAAGTCAATGCCTAACATGCGTTGTCGGTTAGTCTTTTGCCGTAAAAAGGACAAAATCCCACATATTCAATATTATGGCAGGTTGTTATTCATAACGCCAAAATCCATGCCTTACACGCGTGGAGAACTTTATCTCGACTCCTAAATAGAGATAAACCCATGCCTAACACGCATTGTCGGTTTAATCTTTCACCAATTGAAGAAGACACCAGAATCTGAGTTTGGGGATTTTTATCCTGAATCCTAAGTAAGGATGAGTCAGCGCCTAACACGTATTGCCGGAAAGTCTATTCCCATAATAAAGATGAAGTCTACATATTCAATATCATAGCACTAAGAGAGTTAACTCTCTTAGCATAACGTTACATGTAGAACAGACTTAAACAATCTGCATACTAGTCCAACTCGAACGATAGTCGGTAAAGGCACGTCAAGTCCGTTGAAGGCTGAGGGTTTGCCAAAAATCCTAAGTGTACGTCTAACATAAGTCGTCGGGTAGTCTATTCCCGTGAGAAAGACGAAGTCTACGTATTTAATATCATAGCACTAAGGGAGTTAACTCTCTTAGCATAACGTTACATGCGGAACGGACTTAAACAATCTGCATGCTAGCCTGACTCAAACGGTAGTCGGTAAAGGCTCATCGAACCCGTTGATGGCTGAGGGTTTGCTAAAAATCCTATAAATATGAGAGTCAATAACGTACCAGATCTATTAGTTGGTCTCATGACTTGAGGATCCGACAACATTCATATATACAGATGAATCAGCTTTAACAGTTGGTCCAGTAGCCCTAATATTTAGGATCGCCATGCTCTAATGCCTTAAGAGCTTAAACTGTGTAAACTCCAGCAAACGTAGGAGTATAAACTATGTTAAGGCCGGTTAGGGTATTACAGCAAAGGTTAATGCCGGTCAACGTGAAGGTCGATGTCGGTCAACGTGTCGATGATTTCGTCAAAATAAGGCTAAGGAAAGATTCCAGGTTAGAGGATGATTCTAGGGAGTTCAATCACATTCATATATGAATTCTCGACGAAGATAATCAGTTCAAAGTCAACTCAATGACAAGAGCTAAGTTCATAAACTTACGCATCAACTTCAGTTCAAGATTTCAACAACGGTTAGACGATAAACGTAGCGTCGGAAGAACTTCATCTATTCAACAAAACACTAAATAGACTGAAGGCTGAAGAAGTTAAGAATTAAAGCCAGCTACAGGTCCTTTGACACTGACTGAAGGTGGGGGCTATCATATCCTAAGCATTTTAGACTCCTCTATAAAAGAATGAGTCTAAAATACTTTGGAGGGGGTATCTTTAGGCATCTAAAAATACCTGTAGGTGTCCGTACATAGCTCGAGACAAACAGAAGACGATGAACACCATTATCCAAGTCGAAGGGGATTGTCCGAGTCAAAGAGGATCATCTGACGCCGACAAGCACATGAAGCGAATCGGCGAAACGTTAATGACGTGGCGACGAAGTACCAGAACGGCCAATGCCAGGTGGCCCGCGTGCTCACCGGCCACCACCAAGTGGCCCGCACGCTAATCAGTCATCAAAATAGCAAACCAAGTGGCCCGCGTGTTCATCGGCCACCTCTAAGTGGCCTGCACGCTCATCAGTCAGTTCTAAGTGGCCCGCGTACTCACTGACCACTGCCAAATAGCTTGTACGCTCACCGACCACCGGAACGACAAACCAAGTGGCCTGCACGCTCGTCGACCACTGTCAAGCGATTCGCGCGTTCACTAAACACACGAAGCGAATCGAGCAAGCATACTAGTCAGCGAAACGATAAAATATGCGTAAACAACGCAACAAAACAAGAAAACCGGAAAACCAGAATAGCCGCTGGCGGTCGAGTCGTACCAAAATAAACTCGACCAGGGCCAATGGCTCGGCCTAGGGCTGAGCCACCAAATGGTGACTTGGGCAGCTCCGAGCCACCAGGTGACGCAGGTTCGATCCAAAAACACTCTTTTTGATTTTCATGGATTCTCTCGAGATTTGTTCGTTCCTGGGCATTCCAACTGATCTGATACTATGGTTAATCAGTTATTAACTGAAGATAAGGAGGAATCGCTCGTTTTTATCCAAAAAACCCCCCAACCGAAGCCTATAAATACGAGCTCGGGTGCTCATTTCTTCGGATCGGGGGATCAAGAGGGCGAGGTGCTGTCAAAATTGAGAGCGAACCAACGAATTTTAGAGGTTTAGCAGATCTTGGCGAAATTTCTCCATAAACAAAAAGTGAGTTCGAGAGATCTGAAACTCCTTTCCCCCATATTCCTCTGGATTTAAGCTTGGTCTTAAATCCCGAGAAAAGTCGTAATCTCGCTTGGTCAGGATTACCACTTCAGCGAATACTTCCTTCGTGAAGTAAGAGCTTTGATTTTCAATCTGTCAACTAGATCTGATCCGCGACGATCCACGGATATCAATGTCCCCGGCACAGGCAAGGATCCCACGCAAAACAGAGACTAATAAATAGGATCTGTGTGTAGTTTGACAAGAGTTGTAATCTTTTATTTTCATTGTAAAAGAGATCTTATAAAAAGATCAATTTTTTTAGTCATTTGAGTTTATTGTAACGATTAAAGTTGTAATAGATTCAAGGCAATGAAAACATCAACTTTTGACCCAAAGAGATCTCTAACCCGATGAAACTACAATGGGAAATTACGAAGAATCAGTGTTAGTTAAACTTACGACATCAAGAACACCATTAGGATCAGCAACAAAGCCGGCTAGCTTCCCTTTACCATAGTAGAGAACGAGTGGATCCATCATCCTTTAATAGAGTAGGAAATAAAAATGTCAAACATCGATATGTGCATGTATCTCATGTGCGCATGGAAGAAAATAAGTGATAGCGGTGAATTTCAAAAACCAAATCATAAGAGTTTTTTTTTTTTTTTTAATAATGGATTTACCTACTTCCTTCTATCCATCCAGAGAAAGGCTCTTTAAAGGTGCTTTCAATGACACCGGGCCTGACGATAACGACGGGGGTATCTCCCCTCATGCTATTTAATATCATCTCCCCCATGGCTTTTGTGAACGCGTATGTATCTTGCCATCCATGCAATTTTGCCCTATTAAATTAAATATTTTCATGTACATATTGGGAAATTTATTATGGAGACGTAAATTGATTATTCTCAATAGGACGACATAACAATTAATAAAATAAAATAATAAAGGGTTAATTATTATCGGAGAGCCCCTGTAGCATCATGTTCATGCATGAAATTATATCCATCAAGTTTCATTTTGGCAGATGGACCCAACGAATAAAAGTTTTTGACTCTGTTACACAAAACCAAAAAAAGCTCGGGCTAAAAGCGCATAGGTAAAAAAAAATTTGAGGGTAAAAGAATCAAACAAAATTCATGCAGGAAGTCTATCCTTCAAAATAAAACTACAATAGTAATGAAGTTTGAGAACACCATGTTACGGGGGATCCACACGTGCGCAATTAGCCCTAAAATAAGTTATACGCACCTTGCTAGACCAAGATCTTTCATCTCCTTAATCAAAGACGCATCAGAAGTAACACGGCCGGCTGAAGCGAAAGCTAACTTCATTTCCGTTTCAATATCCAAATACGGCATGGATACATCCGTAGAAACAGCTTCTCGGGCGATGGTGTCTCCGATGCAGAAAGGCTTTTCCAGTGCCCTGCCCCGCCTTCGTCCGTTCACGTATGCTGTCGTCATAAGATAAAGCGTATGATCGAGCGCTCAACGAAGTATGACAATCATTTGGTGTTACTTTTACATGTATTTATATGCATGTGCAGTACTCACCTGTAGACACATGTAAAAAGAGCTTCAGTCTTTTACACGTCTTAGAAAAACTCATCACCCTAAAAGGCCCCATGGTGTTTATGTCCAGTGCTGCGTCGTACCTATACGTATATTTTCCACACCCAGATGGAACATGGAACATAATGTAAATTAATTTCGGCGGGTAACAATCGTTATGGGAAGAGTATTTACCTCTCATCAAATGTGGTGTTTGCTGCTGAGTTCACAATTACATCCACTCCTTCAGAAATCTCATTTGCTAGTGTTCCCTGTATCCCCATTTGAGCTTCCTTGATATTCCCTACAACTGGTATAAGCTTCCTTAACATGAAGTCCTCGTAATTCTTTCCGTGGATTTCTTGCAAGGAGCGGAAGAGTTCGGCATCTAGTATCTGAAATGGAAGAGTTAGATAAAATCATGGAAAAAGAGGAATAATAAAAGAACCAATATTCAAGTGTATCAAGCTCCAATAATTATTGTTGAAGATTATTTCATACCTCAGTCTTTAGCCTATTCGTTGCAGCATCCGTGTCCTTAGCTTTGATGAGGAGATGTATCTTACCAACTTCGGGCACTGTCCTCAATATCTTCTCTATGAGAACTGGAGACAATAACAGTTAAAGGAAACCAAATGAGACCACAAAATGAAACTAGCTAATAATGAAAAGAAACCAATCACCTTTGGCGAAGAATCCAGTTGCGCCAGTGATAAAAAGATGCTTTCCTTTCAGGAATCTAATGATACCAATTCCTTCGTCAAGATCCGTTGAGGTACAACTAGGATTTGTTACTTTGGAAGGAGCCAAACGCGTTCTTCCACTACCATCTACTTTTGTTGCCGACCTTCCTTTGCTTCTCAAGGTGCCGTCGTTACGATAGAGGAAGGATATCGTATCCTTCTTCTTCTTCTTCATCATCATCTTCGTTAGTAATGGCAACGAGTCATTGAAAGAAAAGGTAGTCTTGGGTTCTTGGATCAAACGTGAATTGATCATCATACTGGGCAATGAAGTTCGAAGATGAGATACTGAGGATTCTATTCGGTTGACGCAAGATCGAGGAGGGGGGTTTGATTGTAAAAGACCCAAAGCGGGACAGGGATTGGTGATCCTGCTTGCCACACGTATCCCCAGCGCAATTTAAAGATGCACTGATTGGGTAAGATGTATCCCCAGCAATTAATCACTACAACAAATTGTACTTTTCCCAATGCACATAGGAGGGAAATTTCCCCCATTTATTTTCGCGAAAAAGAGAAGAAAATTCCCCAAAACCCCCTATCCTTGCTTGCTCTGGCCGCTCCGGCCTCAACCGCCTCGACCGCCTCTCCTCCCTCATCCTCGCCGACTGGAAGCAGGTCGAGCAATCGATCATCGATGAAGCTCATCGCCGATTACGGCGATCTGCTCAGAACTCCTCAGATCCTCTGCATCTCCGTCCTCTTCTTGGTCGCCGCTGTCGCCTTCTACCTCGGAAAGCACTTTTCTGACGGCGAATACCATCAGTTCGTCTTCTTCAACTCCTCTGCTCCTGCCACTACCTCCTCCGCGGCCATCGCCGTCTCCTCCGACGCTAACCTCACATTTAGGGGGTGTTTGGCAATCTGAAAGTGAATTTAAAATATGTAAGTTACTTTTTTTTTACAAATGACTTTTACATCCATGTCAGCACGCAAGTGAAATACAATGTTTGTTTGAAAAATTAAATTATTATCGAAAGTGCAATGTGAAGATGACGTGGCAAAATAAGATTAATTAGAAAATATAATTAAAATCATTTAATTAAATTACTTACCTTTTTGTCACTTTTATGTGACTTCACCACTTTTTTAGGGGAAGTCAAAATTGCATTAAATCTTATGTGGCAACTTTCTTACATCTCACTTTCATAACCACTTACATGAAAACAAACACCTTAATTGTTAAATAAAAGTAACTTTCTCACTTTCATCTTTCACTTGCATGCAAACAAACACCCTCTTAACATCTCCGATCTGAGCCCTCCTCCTCCTCCACCTGTGAGGTACGGGGTTGTCGATGGGAATGGGATAATGAGAACCGACTTTGATTATGTTGCAGTTATTGAACTGGATCAGCTAGGTAATGTTTCTTTTCTTTGGTGAATTTTTTGGGTTGCGAATGAAAGCTCGAATTTGGTAGCTATGATTTTGAGAATTTGAACATCTAAGCTGCAGTTTAAATCAAGAGATAGCAGAATGCCCCTCCATGCTAGATTAGATAGGATCCTTTATAAATAATTTGGAATTGGGCACAAAAATTTCATGTGTTTAGTCAAAAGGTTTATGCTAGCCTTATATTAATGAGATCATGTTCCTGTGTGCTAGGAGGTCAAAGAAGACTTAAAAGTTTAAAATGAGTTTTAGGTTTGAAAAAAAATTAGCTTCAATCTAAGGTTTTTGAACTCTGTGTGCAGAATTGGTGGAATCCAGCTCCTAAGTATAATTCAGCAATATGAAACTTTGTTAGAAAGTTGAATTTCCTGAGACTAAGGTTGAAAATGTTGTCAAATGAACATTTTTATTAAAATAAAACAGTCCCAATGCCGATTTCTACTTGTAAAATAAAATGAGTATGAACCCTGTGCAAACATGATTCATTAAGAATAGACTGCTTTTTAATGGTGCGATTACAGCCCAAGAGATCATTAATGATTAATTATCATCAAAATAAGAAATAAGAAAGGATCTTATTGGAAACTTGATTATGCAAAGACATGTGATGTGTTGGATTGGAATTTCATTTTTAGATGTCAAGCAAAAGGGTTTGGGGAGGAATGGATGGAAATGTACTTATGGGGAGGAAAATATGCTATATATCTTGGTGACCTTTTATTGTTCTAGAATGTGCTTCTTATCATTCACTAAGAGCATCAATTGTTTTGTATGGTTTTCGTGCCTAGACCTCTCATTCAGAGCACTTCCAGGAAGAAATCTTGAACCTTCGAAACACACTATTGAAGGTCAGTGATATCCTGCCTTGTTCTGATTTGGTTGTTCCCATTAAAACTGAGTAAGGTAAAATTCTTTATTGTTTTTCATGTGTGAATAAACCAAATTCATCTTGAGGACACATGTTTTCCAATGATATCCTGCCTTTACCGACTACCGTTTAAGTCGGGCTAGCGTGCGAATTGTGTAAGTCCGTTCCGCACGTAACGTTGTACTAAAAGAGTTAACTCTTTTAGTGCTATTGAATACGTAGACTTCGTCTTTCTCTTGTGAAAAGACTAAACAGCTACGTGTATCAGACGTAGACTTAGGATTTTTGGCAAATCCCCAGGCTTCAACGGATTTGACGTGTCTTTATCGATTACCATTTGAATCGGGCTTACATATGGATTATTTAAGTCTGTTCCGCATGTGACGTTGTGCTAGGAGATTTAACTCTCTTAGTGCTACGATATCGAATACATAGACTCCATCTTTCTTATGGGAATAAACTATCTGGCAACGCGTGTTAGGCGCTGACTTATCCCTTCTTAGAATTCGGGATAAAAATCCCCAGACTTGGATTCTGGTGTCTTCTATAATCGGTGAAAGACTAAACCGGTAACGCGTATTAGGCGTTGACTTATGTCTGCTCAGGATTCAGGATAAAATTGCCCATGCATAAAAGGCATGGATTTTTGTTGCTACGATACTGAATACGTAGACTCGATCGTTTTCACGGGAACGAACCACCCGGCAACGCGTGTTAGGCGCTGACTTATCCCTACTTAGGCTTTGGGATAAAATTCCCCATGCATAAAATGCATGGATTTTTGTTGCTACGACACTAAATACGTAGACTCGATCGTTTTCATGGGAACGAACCACCCGACAACGCGTGTTAGGCGCTGACTTATCCCTTCTTAGGATTAGGGATAAAAGTCCCCAGACATGGATTCTGATGTCTTCTTCAATCGGTGAAATACTAAACCGGTAACCTGTATTAGGCATTGACTTATCCCTGCTTAGGATTCGGGATAAAATTTCCCATGCATAAAAGGCATGGATTTTTGTTGCTATGATACTGAATACGTAGACTCGGTCATTTTCACGGGAACGAACCACCCGATAACGCGTGTTAGGCGCTGACTTATCCCTACTTAAGTTTCAGGATAAAATTTTCCATGCATAAAAGACATGGATTTTTGTTGCTATGATACTGAATATGTAGTCTCGATCATTTTCACGGGAACGAACCCCCCGACAACGCGTCGGCGCGGGTCGGGCGTATCCAACCCACGTACTATAGCACAAAGAGACCGCGGTTACTGTGGCAACAAGCAACCCTCGCCGTACCTGTAGCCAGCCAAAGCTACCGCCCCGCGATTACTGTACAGCCAAGTTGACCCCACGGTACGTAGCAAAAATGGTGCGTGGTTACTGCTAGCACCAAGAATCCCCCCCCCCCCCCCCCCGGTTACTATATGCACCAACAGCGACCACGCTGCAACTGTAGCCCAGCAAAGTGACCGCGGCTAGGTAAGCACCAAAGTGGCCCACGTTATCTAATCGCACCAAGAGTGACCACGGTACTGCTAGCAACAACGACTACCCGCCTGTTAGAACAAAAATTACCTATAGGTCCCCGAATACAGCTCAAGACCAAGAGAAGGCGATGAATGTTATTATCCGAGTCGAAGAGGATTGTCCGACACCGAAAAGCGCATGAAACGAACTGGCGAACCGTTGATGACACGACAACGAACCACCACAACGGCAAACGCCAAGTAGCTCACTTGCGTCAATCAACTCGTGCGCGTCGGTCATCGTGCGCATCGATCAACACACGCACGTCAACCAACGCATGTCGATCAACACGCGTGCATCAATCGGTTCGTGCGCATCGATCAATACGCGCACGTCAACCAACACGCGTTTGATGATCAGTCCCGCAACGAAGCGTACAAGTCAACAAGGCGATCAATTATGTAAAACGGTGGAGAATACAAGTCCCGAAAAATCGGAAAAACACCAAAAGACTCAGCAAAAACGCCAAAAAACACCACGTCCGTGCGGGTCGGC